GCGCGCAAAAAAATCGGCCCAAGCGTTACCCAAGTAGCGGGTGATCTGTCCTTGCTCCAGAGCCATGACCTCGTCGATGTCTCTGTGGGCAGGGACCCATTCAAACTCGGGCGGTGGCCTATGTTGCTCGAAGAGCTGGAAGATACGGCGCCACACATCCGCGTGTCGGGACAACCCACAGGCAAGCTGGGGGCTCCAGCTCTGGCCTTCCTGCACAAAGGCTAAATGATCACTATATATTGTGGTCGCCTGGGGGGCTACCGAGAAAGCCATCAAGCCCGCGTACCGCTCCGCACGGGGCACCGATTGGCGCCCAGGGAGCGGCCCAAACACCGCCCTCACGGGCAGCCCAGAGTCCGACAGCTCCACCGCGGCCCATCCACACCTGCGCAGTTCAGGGCTCGCGTTCGCGAGCCCCGAGCCGTCAGTGTAGATCCGCCGACCCCAGGGAAGATGCGTAGCCCCCCAGTGGAACACAGGGCTCTGCGTGGGTTGGGGCGAAAGCTTAATGGGATGGTAAGGCAGCCCGTACAGCTCCAGAGAATCCCACTCTGGGTCGCCTAGCCCATTGTCCCCAAGACCCCGCAGATACGCCCTGCGCTCCAAGACCTCCTCTGAAAGGGATTCAACAGGCAGCTCCTCAGGTGGGTGAAGGACCCCCTCACAGTTGTACAACTGGTGCCCCAACGTGCCAGCCTCCGAACTCTCACAAATCTCGCACTGGTGACTGTCAGAGATCCCAAGAGCCTTCTTTCTCGCTGGGGGCCACAATGCGGAGCCGAGCAATCTGCGGGCGCAGCCTCTATGGATCGGATTCTTCAAGCTGAGAACTGAGTTGCGAAGTGCTCGCCTCCAGACTCCATGAGGATTCCCAACTATGGGTTGCATGTGGCTGACAATGCGAAGCATCTGCCATCGTCCAATGCTCTGTCGCAGCAACAGCTTCACATCCCAAGGCGTAGTGGTAAGAAGGTTAACGAGGGTGCCCTGATCGTCGTATAGCATATGTGCCGACGCCATCTTCCAGTCCACCCTGTGCAGGCTGAGCGAAACCGCCGAGAGAGGCCCATTACATCTGGCCCACGTGAATTCACCATTCCAAGATTCCATCATGGCAGCCCACGCCCGCTGTAACTGACTGAGTGGTACCAATCCATCCCAAACTGTGATCGCGTATCTGCAGACTAGCTCGGTCGTGACATCGAATATCGGGTCAAACCATTCATCGCTCTGAGTGGCAAGCCAAGCCGTAAGACTGGCGTGTGATTTGGCTCCCACCAAAGAGCCTGCCAGCGTGCGGAGCTTTGCCAGCGTGGCAGGGACGACGCCGCTAGCTCCCGCTCCATGTGCAGCAGCAGGCAACAGGCCCGTGCGCCACAGAGTGTGAACCTGGGCTCGGCCCCGTTGCAACGCCGCCAACTTGCCCCTCCTGGCCAGGACGCCCATGACACGCTTTCTCTCTTGAATACGTCTGAGTCGCACCCCCGCAAGCTCGTGTCCTAGATTGCGCATGTGCTTGTGGCAGCGAAACCGAATAAGTCCACCAAGCTTCTTCGCCACTCGCGTCGCCGCAGTAGTGCCACCCACACAACCACTTTTGTCCACCTGAATGATGAGACCCAGTGGCTGCACCTGGCGAATAAACCATCGAACAGCATGAAATAGGACGACCGCCTGAGAAGGTTCTGCCCCAATCCATTGAAAGCTGACGTCATCCATCAAAGCCCGTGGCACCACATCCGCATACTTACTGCGTAGGGCCTCCAAGGACTGGCAGAGGAGCAGGTGGACCATGGCGCAGGCGTGAGAGCATCCCGCCAATATGCCCTGCGCGGAGGTGAATTTGGTGGACAATGACCCGTAAGCTCGCACCTGCCGTGGTGCCTGATATGTGTGAATCAGCATCCAAAGTAATCTCATCGGAAATTGCATCTTACTAGCCCTGTCAAGCAGCGCAGTAAATCGTATCGTCTCGAAACACTTGTACATGTCAATCAGTGCACTGACCGTATGCATGCCATTGAGCTTCGCCGTTTCCGCAGCTATGTTGTGTTGAAACGCAGCATCGGTAGAAGTCGCACCAGGCCTCGTGCCCCAAAAGGCGGTAGAAGGGTTGGCGAGCTCCCACTGCTTAGAGATCCGTCGTCGTAATCGGCTCCAAATGCGGACCACAGTATTGATGAGCGCAATGAGGCGGTGGCCCCCCGTGGGCTTGGGAAGCCTCACTAGCACCGTGGTGACCCTCTGCGTCGGCCAACACGCCAACTTCTCGCATTGCTGATAGAGAGATGCAAGGACGCCCAATCCCATGTCCGATACTTGGGTCAATGCGCGCGGTTGAATCGATACCTGCCCAAGCGCCGTGGTGGCTTTGAATCGTCTGAGGGTGTTACGAATGTCGTCGATTGTGATCTCGGGTAGCTCCTCCCAATCTGCTTGAACTGCCGGCGTGGCGACAGCTCGATCCTCATGAATGGTCCAGACACCCTTCCAAAACTCCAAGCATTCATCAGCCATGTGGTGCGGTTGGCCACGGTCCTTCTCGGCATACTGCAACGTCTCTTGTAGTTCACGCACTCTAGTGTATCTGTGCGCTTTGCCAGCCCCATTCTGAAACGCTTGCTTGGCCCACTGCGCCCATTCAATGCCAGCATACTTGCGTATGGCCTCCGTCACGCGACTCACCTTGTCAAGCGCTCGGTCGATCCTGTCTAGGAAGTCAGGCTCATAAAACGTGTCGTGGTAACTGTGGAGCTGGAGTCGATCTTCGTAATCAAGCAGCGGCCCAACCCAGCCAGTACGTACTACTCGCGCGAAGAAACCCTGAAGATCCCGACTGAGTTGTGCCAACAACCGCTGCTCCTTGAACTGACCCTGGACTGGGCTACCTAGGCTGTTGACGTACTGCCCGTGCTGGCCGTAAATGTCTGGCAAAAGCCTTGCAGGGAAACGGTTCGCATCTGCCTCCTCCATTATGCGCTGGAGGGCCGTAAGCATGCGTGTGTGCGTGGAGCGCAGATGCCGACACCATTTGCCATACTGCTGGTAGGCGCTCAACCGCTTGGGCCTCGGTGGTACGAGGGCCTGTACCCGCTTCCATACCCATTGGTCGGGACCAGCTCGGCCGTGATGAAGTCCCCGCTGCGTCATGTCCATTATGTCATTGCGGTTGAGGATCTCGTGTTCCATAGTGGTAATAACCCCATCCCACGCCGCAGCCAAAGTCACACCGTCTGAAGCTTGATCAATGAGCTGCTGCACCCGTGCCCATTGCCGTGTGGGTGGGAACCTGGCACAGCCCACTTTCGGCACCGTCGGGAGTGGACGTGGTGTAACAGGGACGCGTGCCCACTGCTCATGTGCGCAGTACTGAAACCCCAACTGCACAGGCTGATGCGGGAAAGTCGCTGCCACTCCGACTTCGCATCCGCGAATCCAATCGACCAGGGCAGCAGAGACGCAGAAATAGGAGGAGGAGGAGGAGGAGGAGGAGGAGGAGGAGGAGGAGGAGGAGGAGGAGGAGGAGGAGGAGGAGGAGGAGGAGGGAGGAGGAGGAGGAGGAGGAGGAGGAGGAGGAGGAGGAGGGGGGAGGAGGAGGAGGAGGAGGGAGGAGGAGGAGGAGGAGGAGGGAGGAGGAGGAGGAGGAGGAGGAGGAGGAGGAGGAGGAGGAGGAGGAGGAGGAGGAGGAGGAGGAGGAGGAGGAGGAGGAGGAGGAGGAGGAGGAGGAGGAGGAGGAGGAGGAGGAGGAGGAGGAGGAGGAGGAGGAGGAGGAGGAGGAGAGGAGGAGGAGCGGGGGGGGAGGAGGAGGAGGAGGAGGAGGAGAAGGAGGAGGAGGAGGAAGAGGAGGACGACGACGACGAGGAGGAGGAGGACGACGAGTAGGAGGAGCAGGAAGAGGAGAAGGAGGAGGAGGAGGACGACGACGACGAGGAGGAGGAGGAGGCCAGAAGTTGGATGTAAGTTTTGTCTTCGGTCTGCGGCCGCAGGGGGCACCCGGCGGCGGTGGGGCCACGGTGGGGCACGCCGGCTGGCAGAGTGAGGCGCGAGAGGCCGGGGGGTAGGCGCGCGCGGAGCGCGGAGGGGGGCCGAAGGGTCCAGGGGGGAAGGAGAGCCACGCTCAGGCCAGAAGCTGGGTTTATGTTGTTCCCAGCTTACATAAGGACCACATCCCAGAAATGATTTCGAGCACCCGGAAGAGTGTCAAAACAGTGTCGAAACAGTGTCGAGACAGTGTCGGGCGAGTGTCTCCCAGGGCCCGACACGTGAAAAACCCTGTAGTTGCGGTACTTTTTCTGGCGCTCGAAATTCTTTCTGGTGATCAAGGCTAAAGTAGGTTGGAGCATCATAAAGCTGGGTGTACGATGTGCATATGCACTTGTGGATGCCATGGCAGTGGGCACTCTGACAGTCCTCATCGTTGGATCACTCGTGGGTTTCAAATGTGTACAAGCATGCTCCAGAAATGTTTCACACCTGTCTTTGTATATTTAGAACATGTTTGAAACATGTCTTAGGCATCTGGAAATTATTTGGCGGCATGCTTCTTCTCCATGACGCGATTTCCACCAATATACACGGTCGGAGAAGGAGGGAAGAATGAACGGCTGTACTTCGTGGTCCAGTGCGTCATCCGCTGAGCTACTGGCCGCGATGCTCGTGCACCATGCAGGACGCAAGGGCATCGAATCGGGAATTCGGGTCGCACCAGAACAAGCATCGGATCGGGCCGCATCGGCCCGGAGCCTGCACCGAATCGGACCGGCCACGCCAGGATGTACAGCAGCGCCCGCCATGCAGGCATCGGGCAGCATCGGATCGGCCGAAAATCGGAATCGAATCGGCTGGGGCAGGTCCGATCGCATCGAACTGGGCCCTCCTATGTGGGAGGGGAGCGGGAGGGAAAGGGGGGGAGGGGCAGGGAAGGAACGATCACTTGTAAGGCGGGCCAGCAGCGGCGCCCCCCCTCCCTCCCAGAGCGAGTGAGGCCCCCGAAGCCCCTCCTGACACACCGCCGCTGCATCCATGGCAGGCGCGCCCTGCATCAAGTCCAAGAAAATCGCCGCGGCGAGGCTGAACATGTGCGCGTCCCCTCCGCGAGAGGCCAGAGGAACAACGACTTCGAGGGCACGAAAGCACAGCAGCAGTGCTGCACACTGGGTGGGTCTCGGCACCACGAGCGCCAGGGCTACAACGCCGAATGTTGGTGTAAGCTCCTGCTTCGGCTGGACCGACACCCCCCGCAGCAGGAAACGTGACTGAAGGCAGGGGAAGGGGGCGCTGCGTGCAAATGTACAAAGGTATCAGCAACTGTTCTGACCCTGTGGCGTTGGGAGCAAATCATGGAGCATGCGCTGGAAAACGTGGCGTTCTGGTGTCAATGTGGACGGTGGCCCTGGTAGGCCGCGAGCCCCTGCAGTGTGCTCAACCCGACATCTCACTCAAAAGTATCCTCCCTCGAAGCGCGATCTAGCTCGAGCTGCAGATTGGAGGCCTTGGCATGGTGCTGTGCTCTGCAAGAATCGGGGAGCGGTTGCATATCTGGTAGCCCATACTTCCTGCACATGCAGGTTTGCAGTGTATGATGAGGCGCGCAGCACGACACGCTGAAGTGACCTGGCAATGTTGACTCAGGCGCCGTGCCCTGTAGCGCAGGAGGAGGAAGAGGTGGAAATGCGGTTAAAGCGGGGCGACAGGGCAAACAAGGGAGGCGGAGGGCCTACTCCTCATGCCTCCCTCTCCCTTCCTCCCCCACTATATCTCTTTGTTGTGTGTCTCTCTCTCTCCCTCTCTATTTCTCTCTATGTGTTTTATCTCTCTCTGTCTCTATCTTTCTATATTTCTCCCTCACTCTCGGTCTCTCTCCCTCTCTCTTTCTATCCCTCTGGCCGTGAAGAGATAACTCGCAGTACCTGCTACCCGCTAGCACGGAGCTCGCTATTCTTCGCTGTAGTCGAAGCTGCTGACCCCTGTTCGAACGCAAGTGGCTACTCACCAGGATCAAACCAGTGATACGACTTCCTGATTGAAAGGTGGTCTGCATATGTTCAAACTGAAAGTCGCCATGCGCTGTGCGCTAGAAATGCAACTCCTCCTCCCCCATTATCCTCATCCTCCTGCTCCTGCTCCTCCTCCTCCTCATCCTCCTCCTCCTCCTCCTCCTCCTCCTCCTCTTTCTCCTCCTCCCCCTTGCAAAGCCGGCCCGCTCTCGCCTTCGAACGCATCCAGCATATCGGGGCTGCTCGTGGACTCCTGCCAGCCCTACGACACCCATGCTCGACATTTCCTCTGCACATGCGAGACTGGGGGCGGACGAAAACGCGGCGGCGGGAGAAGATCAGGACGGAGACAGCGAGGAGGGGGAGGAGGAGGAGGAGGAGGGGAGAGGAGGAGGAGGAGGCGGAGGAGGAGGAGGAGGAGGAAGAGGAAGGGAGGAGGAGGAGGGAGGGGCGAGGAGGAGGTAACAGGGAGGAGGGAGGAGGAGGGAGGGAGGGAGGGAGGGGGGAGGGAGGGAGGGAGGGAGGAGGAGGAGGGGAGGAAGGAGGAGGAGGAGGAGGAGGAGGAGGAGGAGGAGGAGGAGGGAGGAGGAGGAGGAGGAGGAGGAGGAGGAGGAGGAGGGAGGGAGGGAGGAGGAGGAGGAGAAGGAGGAGGAGGAGGAGGACGGACGGAGGAGACAGGAAGGAGGGCGGAGCGGGGCGCATGAGGAGCAGAGGGCCCCGGGGGGGGCCAGAGCGAGCGAGCGAGCGAGCGAACGTGTGGCGCCGATGCTGGGCACAGCTCGAGCTTGCCGGTGCCGTTCCTGCCGTCCTCCCTTCCCTCCCCTTCCCTCCCCTTCTCGCCCCACGGGCGGAGATAGAGAGTGCGGTCAACGCCGAGGCGGAGCGTGGCCTCGAGGTTGCAGTCGGCTCGGGCGCCGATGTGTGGCGACGGTGTCCGTGCCCGTGTGGACAGAGCGTGCGAGGTCGCAGCCACGCGGCAGGCACCGACGGAAAGTGATGGTACAAGATTTGGTGATCCTCGGAGCGTGTGTCAGCGCCAAGGCGTGCTTACCCACCGAAGCCCTTCAATACGACGCGGGAAGTGTGATGAGGGCCGAGGCAGGCTGCGTGCTATCGGCGGAACTGAACGAAATCCGCCGATCCGGCGTGTGAGTTTCAAGGAGTCTCAGCTACAGCCTCGAGGCTGAGCCTCAGCCTCTGGGGGGGTTGCCGGGGTGGCTCTGTCGGGAAGGGGGGGTGGGGGGGGGGGGTTTTCGGCGGATGCGTTTTTTTTGACACCCTAACAAGGATCGTGGCCTCCGAGGGGGTTCCGAACTCGAGTACACCCCTCCCGCACCAAGAGGCTCCGAGGAGGCCTCCAAGAGGCCCAAGGGGCGCAGAAGAGGCCCCCAAGACGCCCCAAGAGGATCCCAAGATACCCCCAAGAGGCCCTCCAGTGGCCCAAGAGGCGCAAAAAAAACAAAAAAAGCAAAACCCACACAAAAAAAAAAAAACAAACAAAAACAAGCACAAAAAAAGACAACCACCACAACCACCCAAGAGCAAACACCCCCCAACCACCCACCACCTCAACAAAAGATTGCCCCAAGAAGCCCCAAGAGGCGCCCAAGAGGCCCCCAGAAGTCCCAGCCAACCACGAGATCCCAACCAGCATCATGAGGCCTCTGACCCACCACCCACGCACGGTGGCGGGATAGGCCGACGGCCACTGGATAAATGCTGAGTGAGAGGAGGGGAGGGAAAAAGAGAGGAGGGACGAGGGCGAAGAAGGATCACATCAGTCGGAGCGCCCCGGATCGGCGGCACTGGCCGAAGGCCACTACAATAAAACACAAATTGGGGCATCACACGTCCTGAGGATCATCGAAAATCAGTTCAAGAAGATGGACATAATCGACCCCCGAACCTGGAAAGGGATTTAGAGCTGTGCGGCATGGGAATGTTGCCAAGCACCTCACTTGGACCATGGGCAGTGGCGATGCTGAAAATATCAATGACGATGATACTCTGGCAAGGGCAGTGTTGTGCTGCTCTGCGCTGCGCCGCGCCGCATAGTGACGTGCCAAGGACGCGCCACGGAACGTGCCAGTGGAAGTAACAGGGGACGCGCCAGGGGACATGCCGCGTGGAACTGTGCCGTGCGCTATTGCATTGTGGGTCAAGCCGCCCTTGGCGTCAGAATCCTGACCGAAGTGGTTTGGATCTCAAGCTCAAACTGCCTGAATGCATAGCTCGGGCGAGTTGCAATCGAACCGCGCGGGGCGCTCGATCAGCTCGAGCTCAAGATCCGATTCGATTCCGCAGCCCTCGCTCGAGGCACCCGGAGATAGAGCCAGACGACCACATGTTGTATCCCCCTGTGTAGCCTAGACTCGGCGGTGGACAAGCCTCCCTTTTTAATAAACCTCCCCCTTGTGAAAACGGCCTGGGACCGAAACCGACGGACTTGGACCCGCAAAAATGATGGCCGCGGCGCCCTCTCGCGAACTGATAACGGCCAATTCCTCAATCGACGTGTCAGGGTAGGAGGCCTGTCCACCTCCGACAGACGCGTGAAGACGTGGTTCCAGCTCGGGGCAGCCATGTCAGACACCGCACTGAGAGGCCTAGACAAGCGTAAACACGTGGCTCCAGCTCGGGACCACAAGGTTAGGTACCGCCCTGGGTGGCCTGGGCACGTGAAAGCGCGCGGTTCCAGCTCGGGACCACCACGTTAGACATCCACCCGGGTGGCTGTGAAACGTGAAAACACGTGGCGTCAGCTCGGGACAACCATGTTAGACATCCACCCGGGTGGCCTGGAAACGTGAAAACACTTTTTGGTCTGCGGGTCGGGAGCGGGCCCCATTCCGGTCAAGAGCTAAACGGGACGCGAGTAGCCCTAATTGGGGAGACAGGGCGCGGGCGGGCAGGGCCACAGGCGGCCGCACGGCTCAGAGTACAGGCGGTGCCGAAGAACATGCACAGGATAAGGTACGCCATGGACTGGAGCAGGGGGCGCGGTCCCAGAGGGGGAGTGGATTGGTGTTGCCGTCATCGGCGCGCCACGAACACCATCCTCGAGTGATGCGTGAGGAGGGCCGTTAGCAAGTCAACGTCCGCGAAGTAAGAGGAAAACCAGGAAGGCGAAGTGCACCAGGTGCCACCGACTGGCACGGAGGGGCCCAGGAGATGCGGACGACCACGAAGTCGATGTGCAACGTTGTGCCACCGGGTGGTCAGTAGCGGCCTGGGGTGGTAGTCCTATCCACGTCCAGGTAGCAGGAAACGTGAAAACACGTGGCGTCAGCTCGGGACCACCATGTTAGAACCCCACGGAGAAATCTGGAAAACCACCAGCCGATGAAACTCGGTCAGATTTGCATGTACATCGTTAATCGGCATCGATCTATTGATTTTGTCTGGCTATCGTGGGCCCCCGCGCTGGGGGCACCGTGATTGGCCCGCATACGTAAAACACATGGTTCCAGCTCGGAACCAACATGTTGGATGACCCTGGATGGTCTGGACACGTGAAAACACATGGCTCCAGCTCGGGGCCACCATGTTAGATACCCCTCTGGGTGGCATGCACACGTAAAAGCACGTGGTTCCAGCTCGGGGCCAGCATGTTGGATACCCCTTTTCTGGGTGGCATGGACACGTGAAGACACGTGGCTCCAGCTCAAGGCCACCATGCTAGATACCCTTATGGGCGGCCTGGACACATGAAAACGCGTGGTTCCAGCGAGGGGCAAGATGTAACCATCGTAAGTATCTCTCCGTCCTGGGCGGCCTGGGCACGTAAAAACATTGGGCTCCAACTCGGGGACACCACGTTGGATACCACCATGGGTGGTCTCGACACATGAGAACACGTGGTTCCAGCTCGGGGCCCGTGGCACCGAATTTCAAAAATGTAACAAATCTAATGTGTTGTTGGACCCTGACCCCGCCGATCTGCGTGAGGGGTGGCACCGAATTTCAAAAATGTGGCAAATCCCCCGTGTTGTTGGACCCTGACCCCGCCGATCTGCGTGAGGGAATGTGGCAAATCCCATTTGTTTTTGGACCCTGACCCCGCCGATCTGCGTGAGGGGTGATACCGAATTTCAAAAAAGTGGCAAATCCCGTGTTTTCGGACCCTGACCCCGCCGATCTGCGTGAGGGGTGCCACCCAATGTCAGAAATGTTGCAAATCCCTTGCGTTTTTGGATCCTGACCCCGCCGATTTGCGTAAGGGGTGCCGCCCAATTTCAAAGATGTGGCAAATCCCATGTGTTTTGTTAACCCTGACCGCGCCGATCTGCGTGAGGGGTGGCACTGAAGCTCAAAAATGTAGCAAATCCCTTATCGTTTTGGACCCTGACCCTGCGGATCTGCGTGAGGGGTGCCAATTCTTACCCCCAAAAAAATTCTGAGAACCCTCCCAGGGCGTGGTAGTTCTGCTGGTTTGGGCTCCCCCCCTCGCGCGTTCATCAACAAAGAGCAGTAAGCGGCAAGAAGCAGAACTGTAACAGTGGAAACAGGAAGCTGCAACTGGTACAGGGGGCAGCACATTCCCGGCCTAGCCTGGTGGCCCCGCAAGGGTTAAGTCGGGCCTGTCCCCTTACAGGGGGATTTTCGACAAAAAATAAAAAATACCCCAAAAATAATCCAAAAATAATCCAAAAATAATCCAAAAATAGTCTGGGGACTATTTTTGGAATATTTTTGGATCTTCGTGGGGTATTTTTGGGGTATTTTTTTTGCTCGTCGAAAATCCCCCTGTTGGGGGACACGCACGACATAATCCTAGCCTAGTGGCCCCGCAAGGGGGCCGGCGGATTGATGTCGTCTGGCTCGTGCGGGACCTCCTTCACGCTGGGGGCTCCCTGACGACCACGTGTCACCCCCTCATGGGGTGGCCCGGCCCGCGCACGAGAAAAGCACGTGGTTCCAGCTCGAAGCAACCAGGTTAGATACCCCCGGGAGGCCTGGACACGAGAGAAACGCTCGGGGCCACCACGTTAGAGACACAGCTGGGTGGCCTGGCCCCTGGGTGGCCCAGACACGTGAAAACGAGTTCCATCTAGGAGCAACCATGTTAGGCACCTCCCTAGGCGACCTGGGCACGTGAAAAATAAGCATTTCGCCTAAGACATCCTCTGAATTGTGATCCCCAGGAGAGGAGCAATCCGTAGGACAAAAACAGCGCTTCACTCGAGACATCCTCAACAGATTCTGCAAAAGAAGAGTTTCGCTCGAGACATCGGCAACAAAGGAAAATATTCA